AGGTCCTCTCATCCTTCCCGCTCTTAACTCCTTCCTAAGTTTGTCTTTTATTTCCTCCTTGCTATCTTTTGACGTCGCGTGATTTGGAGGTGAATAATATGGCAAGTTTCCTAACCTGTGCTCTGGTATCCCCTGGTGGAACCCTTCTCTAAACCCTTTTATGACGTAACCATGCTCTTCCATCAGACCGAATCTTGTTAACTGCCTTTCCCACTCATCTATATCCATTTCACATACAACCCCCTCCGGCCACGTCCTTCTCTCTGGGTATCCGTGAAACGTCGTCGTCTCCTCTCTTTTACTCTCATGACCGCTTGACGGTTCTTGCTCCTTATTCACAGCCTCTAGCACGTCTTCCTTTATCTCCGCCTCCATCACCACTTCCATTCCCACCGTTTTGTCACCTAATCGGTCTTGACAGTCTATCGTACTCTCTTCGACTTCAGCTACCTCTCTCGTTTTTGTCTCTTCTCGCCTCGGCTCTTCAACTCTTGGCTCTCGTGGAATGTCTCGTATTGTCTTTCCATTCACTCTTCCTCCCGTCATGGGGTTTGTTGCCTTCCTTTCTTTCTCACTGGATGGATACGAAATGGGGCTTTGCGCGCGAAAAGGTGAAGGCAGGGTATGGAGACAAGGGTATGTTATTTCATGCTTTCACTCTATGTATTATCTTATACTTCTAACAACAGGTGTTCCTCTTTGTCTCGACACTCACTCTTTAGCTACTACTTCTCCCGTTCCTGCGCTTCCCCCGTTGCTCTGTCCTCTTTGCTTCGCCCACCATCCAGCACCTCTTCCCTGGAACCAACCACTCCCTCTCGCTTGGTTTCCTCTGCCTCCTCGGATGCTTCCCCTCGGTTGTCCTCTCCCTCTGCCGCGTCCAGCACCTGTTGTGCGGTAACAGATTGTACAAAACAAAAAGTACTCTGTGAGTTAGCTTCCTGTCCTGTCTATTTTCTTTCTCCTCCTACTTTTGCTCACCTCTTAAACCTGTTTGTGCACTATTGCTATTTGCGTAGCCAACCCAGTTTGTGCTGACCACTGCCGAGCTGCTTGCTCTCGTCCAACCGGTTACCGGATCAACGTTCTCTCTTCCTCCTCCAGCCACGTACGGATTGTCCGTGAACCGCCTTTCTCCGTTCGCCTCCGCGTCTTCTTTTGCTTCTTGTAGGAGGTCTTTGTGAAAGAAACCTGCATCTTCCATGATTCTCTTTCCGTCGACTTTCTTCACTTTCATCACTATCAGTCTTACTTTCATGTCGTAACGTAGCGCCACCATCCAGCACTTAGTCAACCTCTTCACTTTCACCACGTTCTCTTTGTGTTTCAAGAACATCCTGGCTGCTATCGGTCTGTCATACTCCTCCTTTAAATATCTCACGAACAACTCGAAAGCGTCTATCCATGCTCCGTAGGTCATCAACAGTTCTTCTCCTGGCTCTAGACCTGAGTATTTTGCTGACGAGTCGTCATCCTGCAACTCTTTTAGAGTCTTCGTCTTCTTCTTTCCGGCTACTCGATGATCTTTTTCAATCCAGCTCTGGTCGAAAATCGACATCGGGACATATGCTTTCAGAGTTTTCATACGATTCTCAAAGTAGGGCGTCAGGGGCATCAACGTCGATCCTCCCAGGGGTTTCCCAATCCTGTACGTTATCCCTCCTTCCTCTTCTACGCGCGGCCAGTTCACTTCAGTTCTCATAACTCTCCTCTTATGATTGACAACAGGTTAGCTTACCGTCTTCTCGCTCTTCTCCGTCTACCTCCTGCTCTTCTTCTTCGACCTCTTTCTCTCCTCTCTTCTGTCTGACAACCCTCTCCTGCTCTCGCACTGTCCTTCCCGTCGACCTGCCTCTTTCTACTTCTACAGAACCTTCTCTGTCTCTATGTTCCTCGGCTTCTTCTCCTTCGTCGTCATCTCCTATTATCAGAGATTCCGTCCTTGGTCTTTCCTCCCTTCTTTTCATCGGAGAACGTGCTCTCTTCGGCAGGGGTCTTCTCTCCTCTCCCGTATGTTCTTCTCTGTACATCAGGTTGAACCCCTTCAGCATGTCAGTCGCAAGGACATCCTGTTCTGTGTCCATCGCGAAGCCAATCGCTTGCCACCATTTCTCTTTTGCCGTCATCTCCTTGTAAGGCTCTGTGGGTTTCAGACATACTTCCATCAGTTCTTTTATCCCTCTTTGTCCATCCTACTGTCTCTACTTCATACTCTCCGACTGTCTCTTTCCGCTCTTTTCTCCTCCTTTCCTCTAGACATTCCTCTCGTCTTTCTTGTCTCTGTCCCCCTAGGCCTTGCCCCTCAGGTTCTGCTCTCTTATCACCGCATCAGACAGCCCTCTCCAGCATGTCACGGTCGTCAACTGGGTTGAAGAGAAAATGGGGAATTGGAAGACTAGCTTTGGACGCTTGGACATGACCACTGTGTACATCTCCATAGAGGAAGTGAGATGAATGACATAGGAAATAACAACTGCCGATGCTTACTCTCACCCGTTTCTTCTTCCTGTCCATCTCCTCTCTCTCCTTCTTGCTCTTCCCTTGCCGCTACCTCTTGTTCCTTCTGTTGTAACTCGGTAGTTTGTCTTTGGCTAATCGAAGTTTCCGCTCTATCACCGCTATTCTCCGTTCTTCCAGTGTTTGTCTCTGCTTCTGTCGTCCCGCTTCCACTACATCCTTCTCCTCCTCTATTCAAAGATTGGCTTCGTGTGACCGTCTTACTTGTACCTTCTACTTGGTTCTTCTTTTTCAATTTTATTCCTGCTGCTGTTAGCTTTGCTTGTGTTTCTTCTAGCTCGTTTGTTAATGAAGTCATCTTTCCTTTACCCAATAATTACACGACTTTTTGAAATGTTCCAACCGTGAGAGTGGATTGTGAACGATAGAGTTTGGTCGAAGTAGGTATAGAGATAGTTTGAGTTTTGTGTATTACAAACTCAAATCTCTCTCGTGAGCAAAACTCTGTGTGGAGTTTATGGGTTTATACCTACTTTGCCCAAACTCGTTCATGGACTTATATCCTAAGTCGTGCCTTTGTTAAGATCGGCAATGAAAGTGTTTGAAGTTGCTGTATGATGAATGCGCTCCAACCAATTCATCCCGGTCGCGGTTTTGAAGATCACGTTGATAGTTACTGTACTGTGAAGAAAGAGCTCCGTAAGATTCCTCTCGGCTATTCCGATACATAGGCGTGAAGATGTCCTCATTGGGGCCACTGTGCATTTGATGACGACCGGTAACTGAAAAGATAAGTCGTGTAAGTGATCATCAGACTGGAGATAACGGAAACAAACTGACCTTCATGTAAGACCTGTGGTCATTACACATACGCGCAAGCGCACACCTAGAGTTTAACACTTAAGACTTAAATCTACAATTACTATATATACTTGTTTTCATTTCGAATCTTACCAATGGTTCCTTAGAGATATCGGGACTGATTCATATCCCTCTATCCTTCGGAACCAGGTATAGTCATTTTACTTCATTTCTATCTTTCTTTCTTTTATCATTGTGGTTGTTCAGCTTAGAGATATCGGGACTGATTCATATCCCTCTATCCTTCGGAACCAGACGTGTTCTCGTCGGATTAGTAATACAAAATCAGGTCTCTTGGGTTCTAGAAAACCCTTTGCTGTGTTCGCACAGTGTCCCGCGTGAAGTATCCAGTGAAGGTTCTTCCAAACCTTACACTTCATCTCGGCGATTATGATCCTCAATGGACATGTTGGTCATCGCGGTGGTGGCTCGCGAAAAAGGAGATTGAGAATAGTTCATGATGATGATGATGTATCAAACAAATACTGTGAGATCAATGTATAGTGATAATGATTACTAGAAGTGATATTATTCTACGCAAAACTATTTACTCAAAGATGGTTGATATGATTTCAGCTAAAGATACGAGATTCTATTTACTACAACACGAGATTATTGATATGGAAGAAAGGGTATGATTATTTTATACACATCATATCTCATTGCATTTGAACAAGGCCTGCTGGGTGCGGTTTCCTTTTTCCATCAGTCTTCAAACGACGTTGTGAAAGAAAAGCTTGTGCTGGTCTTCAAAGCCATAGCTGAAGACCAACATGATCGATGAAGGGATGGACCAGATTGATTGGATCGATCGTGGTCATCCATCTTGATCTTTGATCACAAACTTTCAAGTTTGGAGTAGTTTGGACCGCTCTTGGACAAGAGCTGGTCTGCGGGTGTCCTAAATATGTCCAAACCATGGGAACACAGGTTTCCAGACGTACCCAAAAAGAATCTGGTTGAACCCTGCAAAACCCAATTGTTCGGAAAAAATTGCTCACACACCTGGCCAACCGTGCGACCTACGTCGCGCGGTGGTTGGTGAATTTCAGAAAATTTCGGAAAACGTATTTTTCGACTTACGTTTCTGTCAGATTTGATACGTTTTCAGGCGCCCGTTGGTGATGCTCTTAGAGCATCTCCAATGCTCCCGAATCTGAATGACTAAATGTTACGTTTCTGTCAGAAACGTAACCTGTATTGGAGTTATTCAGACAAACCTCATCCAACGCCGAGGTTGTGTTCCCACATGGAACCTCCCGTGTGAACTCGTTTTTTCGGAAATGACACGTTCCCAGGCTCAGGTCAGCAAATTTGCTGACCTGGCCAAATAATCTGAATCCCAGTATCCCAACGACTATTGGGCCAAAAATAAAGAAATTCATACATCCGTGGACTACCTTTCTCTTTCTTTACGTGAGGTGAGCGCAATCGATCACATGTATTGTGTGGAACGCGATAGGTGCGATCGACCAATTACGTAGATGAAGACATATGGTGACGGGGGTTCAACCTCAAATGAACCCTATGAGGAATTGGGAAAGAAGTTCAGTTGTGCGTTGCAGGGCGCTGTCACCTGAAAAAAATTACAGCTGTCCAGCCGAGGGAAATACTGAGCTGTACATCTATTCGGATTCAGCCACATTGGAGATGCTCTTAGACGTCTGGTCGCTATGTCACACGGTTCTGTCTCTCGCGTACCGCTCGAAAGAAGCGTGTGAAGTTAATCAATTTCATAACTGACGCATTGGTACAATCAAATACTTGGTGGGTAGGCTCTCGGGTAGCAAAACTCCTGAGAGCGGATTCTCTGTCTTTCTTTATGTACATATAGGCCCTCGCCCCGGTCGATCCCCGTCCCCTAATTAGGGGACGAGGAATGATCCCCGAATTAGGGGACGGGCAATGATCCCCTTCCCCTAATTAGGTTAGGGGAACAATCCCCGTCCCCGAATTTGGAGACGGGGAATGACATCGGTATTTTCGGGGAATATCGCCCTTTTGCAAATACAAAAACGAACGATTAGACCGTTCACGGTAGACCACAAAGGAATCAAGGACCTTCAACAACGATACTTAACAAAATCTCAAGGTTATTCCAATCAATGTCGAGTCGATGGGATCAATGGAAGTTTGAAAGTAAGGTTCAATTGTGATCAGGTCTTTCATGAAGAATCCTACAAACATCTGAGCTAATCATTTTATCATCGGTTCTTTATCATTGCTTCTATTTCAAGTTTTAGATTCCTTTAAACGGATCTTGATTCTTCATGTCATTCAGATGTTTGGAAATTATAATTTATAACGTACAAAAAGAGTAATTTGAAAGAGAAGTGATACTTAAAAGTTGAAACTTTTCAATTTGTTTAATTTTTGTTGTCTTTCAATGCAATGAGTGCCAATGACACCATCAAATCAGTTTCTTCAAAGTGGTTCAACTCATCCAAACAAACTAAGACTGTTGAAATAAATACACACTAAATCAATTGAAAGAATAAAGACCAAGATGTATTTTAATCAGGAATCGAGAGGATTTTTGAGAACGATTTTCAGCTTCAATTTCAATTTCAATATCAGTTTCAATTTCAGTTTCAATTTCTTCTTGAGATTCATCTTGAGAATGTTTATGTTCTTCTTCTTGTGCTGGTTAATTTTGATTTGGAAATGAGGTTGAAGTAATTTGATCAGTTCTAGTTTTGATAGTTGTACTTCGAGATCTTCTTCTAAACTTTGATCGATGTGATTTGAATTCGACATTACTTCCTGAGCTCGTCATCCTTTGGGAGTCGTTCGAAGACTCTTCGGCCTACGATTTCTCAAGATTGATTCGCAGAATCCCCGGCATTCCCCGTCCCCGTCCCCGAATTTCCCCGAATTCGAGGAACAGAAACGATCCCCGAATTCGGGGACGGGGATAGGGGATCTCCGAATGAATCGGGGACGGGGCGAGGGCCTATGTACATACATACACGCATCTTCTTCCGATGTTGCAAAAAATGATATCGGTCCCATACAATCATGATTGGAGCCTAGTGTAGCTCTCGTGACATGACTTATGTCGAACCGGAGATTTGCAAAATTCCCACAGGTTTCTGTTGTAGACTGTTCTCACGCCATGGCACGACCGCGGTGTAGTCCCAATTATTGGTGTCTGGACTACTATAAGAGCCGGCCGCTCAGCATCAGCTCCGGTCGCACATCTTTCTCTTGTGGAACTCGGAGCTAAAGACTATAGGTCTCTTATAGGTACGCAATCATAGATCTCTGTCTTGTCGCACTGGAAGTTGTGGACTTGCAGCCGGGCCTTTCTCTTATGGTTTCTTCCCTGTAATTCCCTGTTTCTTTTTCGTCCGGCTTGTCCAGAATCAAGACTTTCTCTCATCAATCAACCTTCAACACCTCTCGTCTAGTGCATCATAATGAAGAACATCGTGACTTTGATCTTACTCATCAGCCTCACCCTCGTGGTTTCAAAACCGAAGCCGGCTCCACCAAAAATCAAAAAAGTATGCAACGCCCAAAAAACTGGAGATTGCGCACAGCCAGCCCCAGGAACACCTGCCACACGACCATGCACCTGTTACACCAGGTGCGCGAGGGCGAGTTGTGGGAAGAAGCCAAAATCGTCTCGCTAAAATTTCGCCATTACATTCCCCTCATAGTGAGTGCCTCTGATATGAATCTTCTCTCTTGAGAAAACCATGATTATAATGACGCTCATGCTACCATTTTTCGAGCCAGGTTTCGTTTTCGGGGAAGGATCGCTGACCGCAATGATGTCATACATTCTTCTACGTATTACTACCCATCAGATTCTTTCATCCACTCATCGAGCCAGTTTCCTGTTATCAGATGATTTTGTTTGTTTGTTGGTACATTTGCACAATAATATATGTTTGTCGATCCCTTTGTATATCTGTGGTTTTGCTGTTGGGGTTGGGCCGCACTTGCCGTTTTTGAAACGTATTTTGTATCAGATCCTTGATCCTAATCAAATCGACTTGAGACTCAACCATTGAAATCTATGGAGCATAATGCGTTTTTCCTCTAACAGCACTCGAGCTCCACGGGTCCGTTGTGTTGGCTGTGAAAAACGCCTATTGGACATCCCCACCAGATTCCACCTCAGGTACTCACATACAACTGTGTCAAGCAGTTGTACAGTGTGTTGTTACAGCTGCCTGAAGCAATGGCCTCGCCTCTCCCGATCTCTCTGGAGGCGACGGAAATTTTTACCCCAATACACCCCCAACTTGTACGCATTAACAGGTGACCTACCCATACCGGTGCCATACCGAAGTCCCACCATGCTTCAAGCATGTTCTGTCATAGTATGCTGTTAAAGTAATCCGTGTAAACCGTCATACTCAATGACCAATGAACAGGTACGGTAGCCTTGAGGTCACGAAGCACAAACTTGATGGAAACCTTTCACCACAACGGTTTACATAGTCATCCACCATCATCAAACGGACATGTCCACCATCACCAAGCGAAGGACATGCACGAAAAACTTACATCGAACGAAGGTTCCAATATTTTGATCATGAAATGAAATAATTTAATCAGAAGAGCCCGATTTCAAAAGCTTATCGCTGAGGCATAGTTGAAAATTGATAGAAAGATCGGCAAAAAGGACGGAGTGACTCAAAGAAAACATTTCAGATAAGTTGTGATAAACGAGTTGGGTTTGGTAAGGATCCTGAGTCTGAGTCAACGTCAGGAAATTTTTGATACCAACCGTTCAATGCATCGCTCGTTTGCATCAAGTCATGTAGATGATTTGATCGTCCTCATTTTCACCATTTTGTATGATGTTTTCTGATTTGTACAAGTATGATGTGATTGGCGATTTGAATCATAATATCTTTTTGAATGATTTGAATGAAGTTGTTTCTACAAGTGTTCGTCAACTTTCACATCAACAGTTTGATGGTGGTGGTGTTGATGATTCTGTGATAATCAATTACTTTTTGGACAAGTTAATGTCCTGTGTAATCTTTACCTTAATCAAAATGAAGAGCGAAATAAATTTTGCCACCTGAATTTCAAGCAAAAAAAATGGAATGAATTTATTTTTATAAGATGATTGAATTCATTCCATTTGGAATTTAGACATACACTTACTTGAAGTGTTGTGTCTTGTCTCCATCAAGGAGAGCGTAGGGCATTTGGTAACTTGTAAAGTGACCTTGACCTCACATTGTTTAAAGTACGTACGTAGGAAAGCAAGGTACGATTTAATAACTAAGATTTCATGGCAAGCGGTACGGTCTACTCAAGTTGTTATCAGACATTGGTGAAAAAAAAATATTCTTGATTCATTTGATTTGAAACACAAGAAGCTAAATACAAAAAAGGATCATCGAGATGAAGATGAACGCGATGAAGCGGTATTGATTGAAATTAAAGGCGGATGTTATTAACTGAAAGCTACGAGTCATTGATTGAAAGAAATACTATGTATTGTATCAAATCAATGCATCGAATTCGTTTCTTTCTTCAGTTTCTTTCTTCACTACACATATTTTTTTATCCTGAATGCTCTGGTTGATGTCAATGGCTTGAACAGGCAGGAGCTTATTGCTGGCTCGAGTGAGGATCTCCAAAGAGGTCGATGCACCAGGAAGCACCTTGATATGGTATCCTGCAGCTAAAAGTCGTGTTTGATTGCTCCAAGGCCAGTTTTTGAATTTGCCGACGGTTTGAGTTTCTGTCCAAGAGAGAGGTGTTGGTCATATATTAAAATGCGATCAAGGACTGTGGAGTACTCACTTATAAGATTGTTTAGCCTAGCTCGTGCCTTAGCCACCTCAGTAGGTTCAGCAACTAAATCCAAAATAATAACAACCTTAGTTAGTGCAAGATCAAGAACAAAACAACAAGACTACGGTAACTTACCAGGACCCAGTTCGACGATGTCCTCCACATTCCACCCAGTAATGGCAGACTGCATCCGCGCCACGGTGTGGTTTTCCGGATTGTTCAATTTGTCCATTTCGAACCATGAGCGGAGACGAGGTGTTGCTTCCACCAACTGAAGACACCCGTTACCTAAAAACGATGAAACACATACAATAGCAATCTGAACCTTATAAGTTTGGGCGATATTATTTGCCTAGGTGACGTTTGATGAGTCAAGTCAGTTCTTCAAATATATTACATGATGATGAAAAGATTTGAGAAACGGACTGACCATTGGAAGAAGGTCACTGACCCATCCTTGTACGGTGGGCAGGTTTTTAGTCAAAGGCCGTTTTACGGCAGACCGGCAGGTGAGAGTGTTCTGTGGCCGCGTCTCGGAATTGACGTGTGGTGATATTTGAATGCCAGTTTGAGCAGCACCTTGAGGCGGCACAGACTCATCAGACGCAGATGTTGAGGTGCTTGGATTTGATGTGGATGCGGCTTCGGTCGAGTTCGATACAAGTTCAGTTGAGTTCGATACAATTTTGGTCGAGTTCGATATGAGATCAGTCGGGGTTGATGTCATTTCAGTCCCGGTAGATGTGGCTTGGTTTGTTTTTGTTTTGCTCGATTTCTTCAAATGTTTTTGAATGACAGAGTTTGCTGCTTGGTCGTTGTAGAACTTCTGACCAGCCTCACCCAATAGTTTCCACGCGTCCCCAACTTTCGCGTTGCTTCCCGGTGCACGAATCCCACCGTCTAGAACAAACAAACTATTTAGCCAATGCAAAAAGATTTGAAACTAAAGATGAAAAATGTACATACTTGCTTTCACTATAGCCCTTGCTCCTTCAGAACCCTGGAAGATCTGGTACCCATTGATACCTCGATAAGGCGAAGCCTTGCCCCTGGAAAGATACGACCAAATCTAAGAGATTGGTTGGTTGAAAAAGTGAAATAAAAGTGAAATTGAAGACGTACAATATTCCATCGGCCATATCACGCGAGATTTGTTGCACGATGCAATTAATCGTGATAACTTTCTCCATCTGGTCATGAAGATCCAAGAGGAAAACCTTGTCAGCAGCAGAAACACCTCTTTTCTTGCTGTACTTCTTAGCCAACATGTTAAGCTCGAGATCTGAGTACTCCATTAACTCTTCGACACTTCCAATCGCAGGCGGAAGCAACGTCAAAACCGCATCACCAAAAATAGTGGTGGTGCGGCGGAAGCAATGCGGCACTGCACTACTCAGCCCGTGCTTTTCTTGTAGTGGGTGACTGCGCAGCCCTATTGGAAAAGCCCAGAATCCTATAGTGGTATATTCGCTGTGCTCGAGCTTTTTGATAGCGTGTCCACATGTACAGCGGTACACATAGTGGCCACTAGGTGTATTTGTATTTGGAATATAAATACATACACACCCCAACTAAACACACTGGCTGTTTTGAACCGGTCATCCCGGTCAAGGACACTCCCGTCCCTTTTGAATCAACTCACCTCATACCTGGACTCAATCCACCTCCCCCACCAACCACCTCATCACGCATGCTCACAATTCAGAACACCGACAAGTGGTTGACAAATTTTATAACAAATGAAAACCACAAGTTCAACTTCAAATGGGATCAGACATCAAGTCGGTGAGTATAGAGATTTCAGAAGGTATAAAGGATCAAGCCGATTGCTGATGATACCCTTCCTCTGGTTCTTTTTCATAACTTTGTTTTGATCACAGTGTCCTTCAATCTCATCAATTTAAGTCTTTCATCCACTTTCATTTCCTTTCAATCCAAATCATTAGCCAAATCTTTATGCATCCATCAACCTCATCGAATACTGGTCAGAGCACCTCAAAAGTGACTGACCGGCCCATTCGATCAAATTCTCGTATCAGTCTTGCTCCGCCATCAACAGACCCATGTGTAGCTCCCTCAGCACGGTTGCTCCGGCCTAGGACCCCTGTTCGGACTCAGCCAGGATTTGTAATGGTCTCCAGTGACTCACGACGGGCACTTCAAGTGGAACCTCTCTCTCCTGGACTCCTCGACTCAGTCTTTTCTGAAATGAACACCGCTGTCGAGACCGAGAACGACATACCAGCTTCACCATCGCCATCGAGCCGCAAGAACAACAAGAGGAAGACGACTCAAGATTCATCAGTCAAGACAGGCAAAAGGGCCCGTAAGACCCCTGTAAGCATCTCATCTCCACTTTTTAATCTTTATTCTTCATTTTAATTTTCCACTCAATAATCTATTTCCATCTTCATTTTCAGATTGAGACTGTACCCGATTGTATCAATCTTGATCAAGACTCTGAAGATGAAGTTATCCCCAGCAGGCCTCGTACTGGTATCAGGGCATCACAGCTAGCTCGAGTTCGAGAGCTGCTCAAGTATTTTCACTCTCCGATCTATCCACAAGGCCAGGTCAGATTGTCCTCAGTTTCTTTATTTATTTGTTAGGATTTCGAAATCATTGATTTCTTTTACTTTTATCATCTTTAGACCTCTGGTGATCCGAGATTGTACAGGTGTAGGTGGTGTCGTGGTCAATTTCTTAAAGGAATGGCCAGCTACTACAACCTATACGGACACCGAGATGGATGTAAAGGTCGTCCAGCATGCCCCAGACGATCAGCAGCCTTGGCTGCTGGGATGGACCTCCCTCCCTCCTGGCAGGAACAGCAGGATGCATTGAATCGATCCTTGTCAGGAACTCTCGATGGATTTGTTTCTAAGGATAAGTTCAGTGTTGACCTCCTGAACCTTGTGTGTGTGATCTGGGTAGTCCGACACGCTTTACCATGGGCTCGTTTTCAAGACATTGCTCTGCGGGATGCTTTCAGACTCTCAAATGTTTCGGCGACTCTTAGATCGCCAGTGTGGGCCGCAAATACCGCCAAGCGTCTCCATTCTGGGATGCAAAACACGGTTCTACAAATGATCAAGGTTAGTCTTACTTTTTATCTCTTTACTATCTGCTTTTTACTCTACTCAATCATCTATATTGTTTTGCTTTTTTTCTCTCTTTTCATTAAAACCCTTCTGTAGAGAAACCACAGCAAGTTCTGCTTCATTCACGATGGCTGGACAACACGCCGCAGCCGACACGCTTTTATTGGTATGAATGTGACTTTCATTGACAAGAACTGGGAGTTCAAGACGGTTCATCTGGCTCTCAAGTTGGCTGCTTGGAACCACGCCGGTGTTTTACTGGCCCGACCTGTGGCACGTTTCCTCATTAAGCACGGACTACATGATAAGATAAGTGTTCTTATTCAAATCTTTTTCTTCTAATTTTGCATCAAACGATCCTGACTTGTTTTGGTTATCTATACATGTTAGCTCAAACGACCGACTCGGGGTCAAACAACAAAACACTTGCTCTCGAGGTTCAAAAACTTTTCCTGGAGGCCACCCCTAGCGTTGATTGGGACGCTGATCACTTGCATCTTCGCTGCTATGCTCACAAGCTAGCTTTGATGGTCAAGCATGGTCTTGCTTCTATCGGACTCGATCCCGGTCACACCAAACCTACTACTCAACCATTGTTCAATATCCCCACCCCCTCGATCACCTTGAACAATGGAACCGAAGACGTTGATATGGAGGAATCCGATTCTGAAGATTCGGAACATGGTAGCGAAGCGGAGGTTCGGGATTGTCAATCCGAGAGCGAATCGGAGGGTGGTCAAGATGATTTTTTCAACATTTCAAGTGCTTTACCAGGTACAAGTAGATCAAAGCCTGATCTTGTGGTTCAAGCGGTGAAGAAGGTGGGTTTATTTCATTCATTGCCTACCTGATGTCTGAGCTGACTTGAACTTCTTTAGGTTGATCGAGTCAGCCGCCTGATTGCTCGTCGTCCGTCTCGCCGTCTTGAGTTTCGTACTCGCGCCAAAGAATTGGGCAGGAAGATGCGCCGTCCAATTCTTGGTGTATCTAGCAAGTGGAATGGATTACACCAAAGCCGATTGATCATGGTTGAAGGGGCCGAGGTTAGCTTATTTCATCTTTTTTACAACTGTATCAGTGATTTTGAATTTTAACCATGGTTTTCACTTGCAGGTAATCAACCAGATGTTGGCCAATGATCAAGAGGGCTACTTTGACGAGATATCGATTTCTAAATCGGAATGGTTATGTGTCTCAGCTTTGACTGAGGTTATGGATGTGAGTCCTTTCCATCCATCTGATTCTACTGACTGAGTTTGAACTGATCGACTTTGATTTTCCAGGTCTTTGTTTCTGCTACATCGCGAGTTGAAGGTGATCACCCAACGGCAGCAATTGTTCTGCTGGATTATCATCGTGTCAAAAGTTCCCTCATGAAGTTAAGCGCAAATTCACCTTATACAAGTCTCAAGAAGATGATTTCGGTCATGCTCCATTGTCTGCAAGGATTTGAAGAAGAAGCTCTCCAATGTGATGCCGTCATCATGGCTACTCTCCTCAATCCACAACTTCGACTGAAATTTTTCGAGTTATATCATTCATCACATGTGGCTCGTGTCAAGAGAATCCTAGAAGAACAAGTGCAAAGTTATTCTGAAAAACATCAAGACTCTAACCCTGTCACTGCCACCTCGAATCAGCAAGACGTCACAGTAACCGATGATGATTACAATGTATTTGCTACGCTACCCGAGGCTTCCGAGAATGATGCTTTTCAAGAGATTGAGGGTTATATGTCTGGAAAGTTTCCACTGACTGGTGGTCCAATTCTTTCGTGGTGGAGCGTAAGTTCTTCTTTTATTTCTTTTCCACTTCACTATCATCAAGTTTCTCATTCCCTCTTTGGTTTTAGGATAATGAGGGCGCCTTTCCTGTGCTTGCCATCATGGCTCGTGATTTCTTGGCTTGTCCAGCAACCACCTGCTCAGTTGAGAGGGTCTTTTCTGGAGCAGCTGACGTATGTGGGTCGGATCGATCAGCTCTATCAACTAGAACCATTGAGCGCTGCTCTTCATCACGGGAATGGATGAAGTCAGGAATTGAGGTACCTGGCGAATTCTCTCAAGGCTTAGAGTTGGTGCAAAAAATGGAGAACCAATGAAGTAATACTTCATTTTTAGTTTTTTAATCTCTTCATCTCACTTTTTCTTCTTTCCTTATTATCTTCCTTTTTTTTTAAACTTTTCCTTCTCTAGTTAGTGTTCACTTTCACCACTCTCCTTAATACAAGTTTGTCTTCATGTTGGTCTGATATTTGTGTCCTCTGCTTCAATAATCTCGTACTCAACTATTTAATTGTTCTTGTATATGTTTTCCACTTATTTTTTACATGCCTTTTAATAAAATTCTTTGTTCATATTAAAAAAAATACATGTGCGCTATCATAGCGTTAGTGAGTCATTATCGCAGCGATTCGTAGTGACTGATACACACCACTACAAGGACTTCATAGCGAGTCTCTCATGTTAGTGGTGCGTAGCGGGCCTCCTAGATAGTGGTAAGTCTCACCACTATCCAGGGTACCTCATATAGCTGTGCATATCATAGCGATTTCGACCTTGGCGGAAGTTTGTCGCTGTTGATGAGGATGGACTTTGGTAAGAATCCGTTAACAAAGGCTGCTTGATTGATTGGAGTAGATTCTAGTAGGGTGGTTTCTTCATTCACGTCCTTGTTCTTTCTTGATCTCTTCGCTGAATGGTTAGGTGCAGTATCTTGAGTAGTTGTATCTTTCGACTTTCTGGAAGTCCTTTTTCAAGGTTGACTAGGTGCTATGACTGTGACTGAAGAATTCAAACGAGGTGAGGGTCTGTTTTGAGCTAGTATTCGTTGCCTTTCACGTTCAAAAGCTTGCGACTCGAAGTTATCGATGATAGAAAAATCTAGCGGAGGAAGGTCATCAGAGGTTGATGTAGCAGGTCGACAATTTTCAAGATAGTCAATGTTGTCAATTCTAGAAGGTGCTAGTTGTTCTATGCTACCTTGAAAGACGCGAGCAGGGTTGGAGTGTGTTTCATAAGCAGGGTAGGAGTTTGCTTGGTATAGACTTTGGGTAGGATTGTTGGGTGGATGATTGTTGGGTGGATTGTTGGGTGGAAGAATTGGCAGATGAAAAAAAGGAAATGAGACTTGATTCTTGAAGTAGATATCTTGCGCAGGGCCATGATTGAAGTGTATCGGTTCGGTCGTAGGAGGGCGGATAGGAGGGTTAGGTAATGATCTGTTGAAGTGCTGGGGATGGGGCACTCCGGGTCCATTGAAGTAGGGAGGATGGTGCATTTGAGCTTGGTTATTGTAATGAGGCTGTGACGGTGGTGGTAATCGATTATTGAAGGGCTGAGGATCAGGCGTGCTTAGCATATCCATGACCAGAGTGGTAGTGGAGGTCGATGTAGTAGGGTGATGTAGACGCTGAATGCAAACCTTAGAGAAAAAAAAAGGAATTGGGGTATGTCCCGCACCCAATCAGGCGGGGTGCGGGCGCACCCACCTAGTCACCTACGCGTGTTTTGGCAGATTGAAATGCAAATAGATGTGGGAAGGAGTGGATTTTGGGACATGGTGAATAGAGAAACTCACCTTGATTTTCACAGGAGAATCTATCACTTGAAGCACTTGGCCATAGACACGTGTCTTGTATCATTTAGAGGGACTTTGAAGGTCAAACGGGAGCAGAAAGTGCCTTTTTACGGATTGAAGTTATAAAACAGGTATGAAGGAGTGGATATATGAGGATGGTTCATATACATTATTTGCTCAGAATATAAAGAAGAATCTGCGTCTTGACGCACTTTGTCATAGGTGCGTGTCTTGCACACCTTTTGGGCACTTTGAGGTTAAAGCGGGAGCAGGAAGGCCCATATTGCGGATTTAAGTGAAAAACCAGTCATGAAGGAGAGGAGATGTGGCCATGGTTAATTGGCAAGTTTTGTTAAGGATTCACAGAAGCATCTATTTCTTGAAGCACTTGGCTATAAATACATGTCTTGTATCATTTAGAGGGACTTGGAGGGTAAAGCGGGAGCAGAAAGTGGATTTTTAAGGATTCAAGTGCAAAAAAATACATGAAGGAGTGGATATATGAGGATGGTTGATAGAAATATTTTGTTCAGAACTCAAATACGCATCTTTTTCTTGAAGCACTTTGTCATAGGTGCATGTCTTGCACCCCTTGTGGGGACTATTGAGGGTAAAACGGCAGCAGGATGGCCTGTTTTACCACTTTAGTTGCAAAAGAAATCATGAAGGAGTTGAGTGATGCAAAATCTGTCTTATGAGACTATGCCTGAAATCATGTTTTGTCATCTAGGGGGAGAGATTTACACACATTTGACACATCTTCAGTGTGTTTGAGGACATTTTCTGCCAAATATTTGGAAAATTCTTATGCGTAGAAGGGTTGAAGTGAAAAAAAAGATGAAGGAGTTGAGTGATGAAGAAGTTGTCCTATCAAACTATGTCTAAAATCTGATTTTGTCATTAGGGGGGAGAGAAATACCAACATTCTCTACATCTTCAATGTTTTTTAGATGATTATTAGAGCAAATTTGACCAAACTGGTATCATGACAAGGTTTGCGCAAACTCTTGCACAACTGTTGTTGCCAATTTCATACCACAATTTCAGCATAAAAGTTCACCAAACACATGGAAGAACATGAAAATATGTGTTTTTCTGTCCCCCCAGATGGCAAATTCAGATTTTAGACATAGTTTGATAAGACAAATTTTTCATCACGCAACTCCTTCATCTTTTTCTTTCACTTCAACCTTTGGTACTTGTCATAATTTGATGAAAGTTGGGTGACAAATGTACCCAAACACATTGAAGACCATGGATGTATATCTCTCCCCCCCAATGACAAAATAATATTTTAGACATAGTTTGATAAGACAACTTCTTCATCACTCAACTTCTTCACATAAGAAATTTGACTTGAACCCTTGTAATCATCCTAATTTAATGCAAGCTAGGTCACAAATGTACCCAAACACATTGAAGAAGATGGAATTACAGGTCTATCTCCCCCCCCCAGATGACAAAATCTGATTTTAGACATAGTTTGATAAGACAACTTCTCCATCACTCCACTCCTTCATCTTTTTTTTCACTTAAATACGCAAAACAGGCCTTCCTGCTCCTGCTTTAACCTCAAAGTCCCCAAAAGGTGTGCAAGACACGCACCTATGAAAAAGTGCTTCAAGACACAGATTCTTCTTTATATGCTGAGAAAATAATATATATGAACCGTCCTCATATATCCACTCCTTCATATCTTTTTTATAACTTCAATCCGTAAAAAAGCACTCTTATGTATGTGCGTACACCTGAATTTACTCAAGTCCATGTCTTTCAGGAGTCATCTTTTTCCACTGTTGGATATCAGTCATATCCTCATACAAATGAGGAGAAAAATAGCAATCAAGTCTTCATTTCAGCAAACCAAAACCATTTTTATTTGAGCAAACAAAAACATAAGCAACTACAATTTATAAATGTAGAACATGATTGTAGAACTTGTCAATCAATACATATCATTGTAGAACACGCAAATCAATAAACTTCCTTTCTTAATTGAGCATATACAAAAGCATATGAATGTAAAGCATATCAAGCAAACTATACAAGAGTCAATTTCACAAACAAAACAAACAGTAATCTTTGAAATTATTCCTCATCCATTCCATTTGAATCTAAAGCTAACCTCAGACTTCATCATCTAAAGTTTTGATCCACTGATCTTCTTCATCATATTCGTCTTCTTCATAATCAGTACTTTCATTTTCAGTAGTCCCATCATCTTCAATAAGATCTGGAATATCTTCTATGTCTTCCATTTCTTGTTCCACATAATTCTGATAAAATGCATTCCAATCACCGAGTACTCTTGAAAGCAAGCCATTCTTGCGTAGCGTTCTGATATCCTGCAATTGACGCTTCCATGATGATAAGACCGTGTTGTCATTCAGTTGATGAGGAGTTTGCAAAAACGCTTTTAATACATCTTTATCCCATAGTTCCATCAAGTGAGTATGAACAAGAAAACTATTATAGAATAATGTTTTAACTGCTACTGGTTGCTGGGATATCACCAATAAACTATCAAGTGAACAATGTTGTATGAAGTGTGAGATTAATGAGTCAGCAGGAAGAGGATTATCAAAATCTTCAATCTTTTTCGGGGCGTCCTTTAAGCTGAGCAAAGTATCAAACAAACTCTCGTAGCAAGAGGTGGCCCATCTCATTGAACGCCGGACCTCCCACCCGATCCTTCGAATCTCCTCATTAGCCCGTTCAAAGTAACACTGCTGGCGCATTCCACGTTGCGTATGTGGATCAGTGGCCCACGGTTCAGTAGCATTGGTGAAAAGCCCATCGGACCAAAAGACGTTGTCAGCTCCCATCTTGTGAAGGTCGTTATAGACAATTGGGGCTGGGCAGAAGGGTTGATCAGGAAAACATTGCCGGTACTCGGAACAGCGCGTGTTGTAGATCTTGCAAGCCTGGAAGAGTTTAGCTGCATGTTTGCGCAGAGATGCGAGCAATGCAGTTTTCCCGTGGGTGCCTGTTTATACACGTTAACAATGAGCACGAAGTCCAGATGGTTAACATGTATCAAATCTAGACTCACCAAGCTTAGATTTTTTGCCAGGGACTCGACTGTCCTCCAGAGGTCTCTTTTCTGCGCAGAGGGCCAAGTACTTTATTCAAACTTCGTTCTTGCAGTACCAGACTCTCAACCGCATTTTGGTTTCGTCTTCATCTTTTGAAGAAGGAAATGAATATCATATTCTAATTCAGTATTATGTTTGCATACAAATATCCAAGAAAACACTGACCACCAGTCAATCCTACCAAATTGGATCGACCAATCTTTGCCCTTTGTTCTTCAATCGACTTTTCAAGTTTTTGTTGAGTTTGAAGTCGAACAAGGGCTTGTGCAGGAGCTAGTTGATTACCGACTGTTTGCCTATCAAAATGATGACATTCGAAGTCAATTAAAAGGATAACTACTTGATAATACCTTCAGACTTACCAGAAGTTGCCAAGTTCCTCCTCCAAGCAAAGCAAGCAAGCCAATTCCAATTGCATTTCATGCTCAGTGACTTTTTTGACGCTGTGAGCTTCTCGTTCTAATACCCATTGGGCATGGAAGAACTCCGCAGTGTACCAACGTTCTGGATAATCGGGATTGATAAATCCTTCTAGCTCGGTTAACGCTCTACTTGACTGTAAGCGTACTTCAAACGTGTTCCGCAGCCTTCGAACGAGCCACATACCTAGATTTCTCATGTCATATCAGCTACATTGTAGTTTTAATATCTATGAGTATCATGAACTACTTACCGCTTCCCTTAGTGGTTCTTTGACTGAAATAATCTGCTCGCCAATGGATCGAAAGTAATCGATGTAACCAAGTTGATATCCGGAGGCTTGAAACTAGAACAGATAGGTCCGACCACACTCTTTCAAGCCCTTCTCCATCAGATAGTCCAAAGAATTTGATGAACCGAGGGTTGAAAAAGATTTGACACCACCATTGATGGGCGTACGCATGAAAAACTGAGGTTCCATACAGAAGCCGCCCTTTGTGTTGAGAAAGGAGGTTACGCTGTGTATAAAACATTTTGAACAAAATGTCAGATGCAAAAAAAAACTTCACGATAAGATGATTACACCAACCTTGTTGACATGAACTTGTAAGTGACACCCAATATCGTAGAGTACACCTAACTTCTTTTCTGGAAGTTCTGTAAGCAATTTGTCCAGTATGGCAACCGGGTAGTGTAGCCTGACAAAAGGTTAGATTATAAGTGAAGGCTCTGTATTAATTTTGTTAAAAATGAACTTACTTTTCACCTGACCGAAAAATATTGACAAATTGTAATGGTACATTGTGGCAACAAGCACAAGCAAACAGGCCGGTATCATCACATCGGTCCCAAGATGTCGAGTTACGCACATCATTCGCGGCTGTGTGAGAATCAGAGCATGGGGTCTATTGAAAAGATGAGTACATCACATCATTCAAGGGAAAAGGCCTAGGATAACTCACTTTCAGTTCCTTAACTTGACTTTCGCTGTTTTGAAGTACTGAAGCAGATTTTTCAATTTGAGCTGGAGGAAGGAATGATTTCGGGTAGTCTTTATCGGTGGGTGTATCTTTGCTTGCATGCATCTGATGGCGATGTTGAAAGTTGCCATCCATGGCAACTATCACATCCGGTTCATTGGTTGATTCCTTGCACTCGCCTTCGGATGGGCCAAAGCATCGTGAACATTCAGCTGCCCACTTATCGGCAGTTGTAACTCGAAGTAGGTCGTCATGTAAAACTTTTTGATGAGTCATAATCCTGCGATACAAATCTACTGATTGAGTAAAGGGTCGTCGTAGGTCGCGCGAGGAGTAGTTGCCGTTACGAGTAGATAGCATGTCCTTTGAGCGTTGATCATGGAAATCCATAAGGGCATCCATCATGGCAGTTGCCGAGATTGCTGACGAGTTCCAGAGGTGATGATGAAATTGGATCAATGGGATAGAAAATGCAGTGCGTGGAGCAGTGGGTGTGCTAGCAAAGTAACCGTAGTAGATGAGCCATACAGGATCCGATATACATCTGCAGAACGTCAAATCCTTTGACTGATGGCGACCTGTACACACATAACTATCAGCCAATTGATTACATCCTCAACACGTAGATGAAACTTACCAAGAACATCAATCAAGTCAACAGGTTGAGTTGATTGTTCTGATCTTGTACACGCACAACTGATGTCTAATGTATCTGGTCGGGTCCAGTTAGTGCTACCATTTTGGCAGTAAAGATAAGCTGCCGTCATTGATGCTTCGAGTCCATCCCAGATTGCTTGTGATTGTTTCTGCTTTTCGGCATGCTGCCAGCCTTGACATTGTTGAGCAAAAAGATCGAGAGCAGTTGGTTCAAGGGGAGATGATGGAAGGGCATCTGGGTGATAATCCATCGGCATGAATTTGGCCAGTCTTTGATCGTTATCAGGATTGTTAGCTTCAATCGGCGGTTGTTGGCCACCTGAGGTTTTTCGAATGTGACCAAGAGCCGCAGCCAGGTCTTTGGCTCGCTGTGAAGTGAACGGTGCCGGTCGAGTTGTAGCTTGAGTTCGACGAGGGCGGGATTTGATCCCAGTGATCATGGTTTGTGAGTGTAGAGGAACTTTTTTCGTCATCGTGAAGTTTCCGGTGATTTGATAGCTGAGGGACGTATAGAGATAGTGAAGAAAAAAAAGGGAAGTTCCAATCAGGACTACAACACCAACTAAGAAGACAATAGCGAAAGCATCGAATATTGAAGGGTTGATGATGATTGTGGAGATTTCCATGTTGAAGGGTGGCAGGTACGGTGGCAGTAGGTATATATAGACAATCTATGATACCTGGTGCCAAACCGGCAAGTTGTGAGTCATGACTTACCGCTCTAGGACCGGTTATTACTGCCCAAGGACCCAATATATTTATGATTCAGCGGGGAAGTCCGTATTGGGCCGGGAGATTGTAAGGCGGGCATTAGGTACTTTCACATGGTGACTTGGGTGTGGGTAGGTCACCTGTTAATGCGTACAAGTTGGGGGTGTATTGGGGTACAAATTTCCGTTGCCTCCAGAGAGATTGGGAGAGGCGAGGCCATTGCTTCAGGCAGCTGTAACAACACGCTGTACAACTGCTTGACACAGTTGTATGTGAGTACCTGAGGTGCCAGATTCGAACCCTTAAGACGTACAGCTGTTCCAACAAAGATTGATTTTTTGGGAAATCTCGCCAATGTGCAAAACCCGGGTTTTGTCCCTCACTTGATTTTGTCTCTCCGCTAATTGGAAGAATACAGGAAATAATAAACCTGTAATCAAGTTTTGTTTTTGGTTTTAGCCGCTGCGGAGACAACTTTCTCCAAAGAAAAGTTGTCAACCTTTCTTGGAACGGCTGTATACTGGGGAGCACGGATAGACACTCAAGCCCAAGCAGCGCTAAGTTCAAAGAGATGATCAATTCTCATTCAAAATGTCAAGGTTTTCACTTGTATATACACGGTCCATACCCGACGTCGGGCAATTTGACTATTGATTTCTGCAAGGTCCACTTTTGCCCTTTGACCCTTGCCCCCCCCTTTTTTTTTTTCTTTTATATTGCTTAAAGTGTCATTAGAGCCGTAAGGCTATTAGACACTGCATATTTTCCAGCACCGGTAAAACCCCTCTGGCTGTGTCAGGGGAAAGGTTGCTGTTGGCTGTTTCATCTAGCATACAATATTAATAGTGTGGGTAACATGATGTGGCGCTAAAGGATGTGGTTATAAAGGGAAAAAGGTGGATTGAGATTTTCAATCTCTGGGGGGTTGCCTGTTTGTTGGCATGTTTTCTTCTGAGATCTTAGCCCAAGTCCAGCGATTTTTGAACCGCCATGTGCTGTCGCAGTAGTTGGCAATGGCTTTGAATGCCACAGGTTTGTTGAGGATTGTTGTGTTAATCGGGAGATTGAGTTTGTTGAGTTCTTGCTCGAATTGTTGGCGCTCCTTGTTGTACTTAGAGCATGTGAAGAGGAAATGTTCTACGGTCTCGATGCCTTCTTGGCATTCGCAACTTGGGTCCCCTAGCTGATCAAATCTGCAGAGGTAGTGGTTGAGTTGAATATGGCCTGACATTAATTGGGTGATGGCTGCTATTGAGTGTTTCTTGAGTTCGTTTAAAAACTTCATGTGCTTCTTTTGTTGTGGTTTATGTCCCAGTCGTTTTAGATCGTCTGGATTCTTGATTTCGGAATTTTTGGTGCGCCATTCTTTAATGGCCGTGAGAAAGCTTGCTGCGTTCGGGGTTGCTTTGAAGGTATTGGGTAATTTTGTGTTAGCTTTCTTATTGGCGATTTTGTCAACAATTTCGTTTCCGTGTACCCCGGCATGGCCTGGGCACCATCTAATGTTGATGCGCATATCGGGAAAGGATCTATGTAAATACATCATCAGCTTGTACGTCTCTTTCCTGTCTTCTAATGTAGTGATGGGAAGTTTATTAGACCGGAGGTCCTTGATAACACTCTGGTTATCGAGGAGGATCGATGTTCTTCGGGTGTGTGGTGAGGCAGTGTGTAGTGCCATGGTGAGGCCCATTTGGACTCCTCGGTATTCGGCTTGATAGATGCCGTGAGTTCGCGCTGTTCCTAAATGTTTAGCTACAGATTTGTTAGTATTTTTACACCATGCGGCAGCCGCTGTGGTGCATTTGGGAATTCTAGATCCGTCGGTAAATATTACCACGTGTTCTAGTGTTGCCGTGAGGCTATTGGCCTCTCTTTTTGCCAGGCTCTCGGTCTCTTGGATGATTGTTGTGTAGTTTGAGGGTCTTGTCAAGATATCTGATGGGTCGAGTGGGATTTGTTGAATGAATTCGGCTAATTCTTCGCTGACTTGATGTTGGAAGAAACGGTGAAACGGGTTGTGATGGCATTTTGGTTTTGAGTTTTGAGCTTGTTTGACGAAGCTGTGAATAGGAGAATATGATGGTTTGGTTAACGCAGTGGCCATGAAATTCATTATCTTACTCTGTAATCTGATTTTGGGGGGTGTGAGGTTTGAGTCGTGCATTAGAAAAATTGATGGCGTCGTTGGTAATAGGGACTGGGCGAGGTTTCGACCGACAGAGGATTTAGCCACCTCAATAAGCGCATGAATCCCCTGGAAGTCGACCGAAGCGATTTATGCAAACAGGAGGTGTCAGGATTACTCCTACAAGCCCAAGAGACCCGACTGTCAGATGATTTCACCAAAACCAGAGCGAGAGCAACCTGTGAAAGGTATATCAGGCTATCCAGAAGCGTTCTGCCATAGGCTTTTGGCTGAGGTGGGGGGGGAAATTTTGAATAGACAGCTCGTCTTAGGGAGGGTCATGCCTGTGCGCCACCCTATTTTTTTTAGTGCCATAAAGCTTACTAAAAAAAATAAGGAAATTTCATATTGATTGAACAGTGGCTTAGCTGTTTGCAACTCGCTTTCAACTACGGTTGAATTGCAATTTTGCAGAGCTTCGCCCAGTCCCTAATGCCCCCAACGCTGCCCTTGCGCACGTGTTGTCAATTGTGCTGAGCTGTTTGATGAAGTATTCCGGTGGCTCGAAGGGTAGCCACGCTGCTACACCGTAATCTAGCGCCGTGTGGACGGTGGTGGTGATGAGAATGTTCATGAGGTTTGGAGTGATTCCCCACTCGGACTTTGATAGACTTGTCAGCACATCCTCACATCCACTGGACATCGATGCCCCCATCACATTTCCATCGCGTCTTCCAACTTTGACTCGTTCTGATTCTTCACCAGATTGATCTCCACACAGAAAACCTCCTAGATCATTTTTTCATGGCCTCCACATCCACTCTCTGCCTTTCTTGAGAAAAAGTATGTTCAGATTTGCTCGATCAAAGCCCCCAAAGTTTCAATCCGCTCATTTTGATTCTGACATTTGCCACCTTTTTTACGTAGGTCGACTTCTTATCAACACGAAAAGTCATCAAGATCGATCTATGATGGACACCGAGTATCTAATCACCTCGATTCGAGATCCCCTCATGATTGCGTTGACAGCGCTCTCCAGAGTTGTTCACTCATGGTCACCAAGGGAAACTGTACTGGTTTTTTCTCTCAAACAACAATTTCTCGAGTTACCAAAGGACATAATGGATTGATGGAAGTCATGATTGCATTGAACTCATCAACGATCACTCGATTATAACAAACAATACATGGAAAGCCGTAGGAGGTCGATCGAAAACGATCTATGATAGTTTAAACAAAGTGGTGAATCATCATTGAAATTATGCCGAATATCGAGTAGCTTTACGTAAAGCACATACACGTTGTATACCATTCTTGAGTGTTTATCTTACTGATGTTACGTTTTGTCATGAGGGAATTCCTACTCATCGTACTTCTCCTATTGATCCGAATTTTGAACAATTAATTTTGATAAATAACAAGTCAGTTTTTTCTCCTCATATTTTTTAAACTTGTTCAACTCGAAGAGATCTGCAACACCATTCGCGGTGGGATCTTACAACAGATTCGATATATACAAGACAAGCACATCGCCTTTGTTACTTTTGTTGACTCGAAGTAGGTCGTCTGGTCCTGCTGCTTTGTAAACTTATATTCATGGTATCCTGCTTCTTCCCTCTAACAGTGCTGCAGTTGCGTTCTTCCATACTGCAACCTTTCAAGGTATTGCATTGCATAACCGTCGCCTTAAGGTTGGATGGGGTAAACATTCTGGACCACCCTCTCCCGGTATTGCCATGGTGGTGCAAGCGGGTGGTTCTCGTAATGTTTACATTGGTCAAATTGAAGACTTTGAGGCATTTGACGAGGTATTTCCACTATCAATGCTCACATTCATAACTAGAAGATAGATTCTGACCCACTCGGTTCCCCACAGGCCAAGATCAGGCAAGACTTCTCACAGTACGGTGAGATCGAGTTGGTCAACTTGCTTAAAGAGAAGAATTGCGCCTTTGTAAAGTAAGCTGAGGCCCTGCACACTACCTCACAGTATTTGTTTCTTTGTTGACGCTTGATTGATTTAATTTGTGACATGCATTCAGTTTCACAAACATTGCCAATTCGATCAAGGCGATTGAAGGTATCAAACAGAATGAAGAATACTCAAAGTTCAAGTTAGTTTTCCCTTCTTTCCTCTCCATCTGGTCCGATACTGATGTCTAGCTGCCTTTTGTAGGATCGCGTACGGTAACGATCGATGTGCCAATGCCCCGCGTAACGCACCTTGGGCTCAAATCTTTTCACCTACCATCCCGACTCCTGGTGCCGGTCCCCGAAGTGCTCCTGCCCAGATGACAGGTTTTAACCATCACATGCTTGGCGAAACATCCCCTGTGTACAGTGCCAATGGATTCTCGCCCAACCCGACTGCTGAGGACCTTGCGCATATCGTGGTGACAGCTGATGGTGGAAGTGTCCATCCTGGTCAGGAAGTTGCGCATGGCGAGGCTTAGTCAAGACCTCTCAAATCACCACCACTCATATCTTGTCTAGACTTTTTACAATTTCACGGTGATATATGGATGTAGTTTTGTTTCGTGTCAATTTTTGGGCAAGTGGCTGATCGGTATAGAGCCTTTTAAAGTTAATTTCGGCATCATCGACAACAAGTTTTTTCGTTTCTTCTCCACAAACATCATGGGTTGATACTAGTGGGGTGAATAGAGGACGCTTGAAGTCTTATCTTACAATTCCAATCAGGGTTTTTGACTCGCCACAATTTTCACATTTAAACCTCTTGTTAACTCAGCATTTTATTTTTCAGACAAAACCTTTCAGAAAGTGGCAAGTCGTTGGTGACAAGCAAACAAAATGTGTATTGGAGCTTTTTCATTTTTTCATTTTTGTTTTTGCTCTCAGTATTTCATCTTCCTACCCAAAAAAATCCTTTTTCCTCTTGATCGTCCCACTCAAAAAGCAAAAAAAAACTCAAAGAATTACATCAAAGATGTTGATCGATGTAGTAGTTTTGATAATGGTTTCTTATTTTAGATAACTTCATTCCCGCTGATCGGATCTCTAGATGTATCCATTCTCTTCATCATTCCTATCAACACATAGTACTGCTCTACCATTTTCCATTTGATCACAAACCATCATTTTGTTCCATGATGTTTTTTTGTGGATCATATCAAATTGCATACACCATTGGTCTTTGGTCTTTTATTTTACTTCTCTAGCTCTGCTGCTTTTTTTGAATTGATTTATCAAAAGCTGATGATCAGTTTTTGCAGAAAAACAAAAACCCCAATGTGAATTCAAAAACTTGCTTCTTAATCATATCTCTGATTTTAGAGAATTCATTTTTAATTTCAATTTTCTTTTGTGTTTGACTCCCCTGATCCAAGAACCACACCCATCATCACATTCACTATCATCATCATCCCAAAAATCAATTTAGTCAGTTTATGTTATTTTGAATGTGTATGTCTCGCTGTCTCGTCTGGTTTGGTTTGGTTTGGTTTCGGCTCGTATTCGATTTTCATTTTATTTAAAATTGAATTTTTCTTTAATTTGAAAAAAAACAGAAAGAAATTGAGTGGTTGAATTAATTAAGACTTGAGAAAATGATTGATGTGTTTGGGTGAAGATTGAAGGAATGAACCAGAAAATGTGTCTTGGTTGATTCATAATCATTGATCCAAAGATTCTGGTATTATCAAGTAGTTGGATATGTGATACAGTGAGTTACAGTATAAGCAATTCAGTCTTATTGATTAACTTGAAGATGTGAGGAGTTGAGTTGGAGATTTTATCTGAGAATGAGCACACTTTGTAAAATTGTAAAAGAAAGCTCATGAGAGTGAATCTATAGTAGTCAGTAGTCTTTGGATGTTGGATCTGAGAAAAGCTTTAGAGATGATACATGTCAACTGAGAGAAATGATCAAAAATTATTTCACGTCCATAGATTCACTGGATCTCTCATAAGCTCTCTTTTTACAAAGATTACTCATTCTCAGAGATAGAATCTCCAATTGAACTCTTTATACCTTCAAATTGGTCAATATGTAGAAATGATTTGTTTATACTATTGTAACTTATTGTATCATATATCATTCTATCCTGGGGTGAAAATTCTTTTCTCTTTCTCTTAGGTTGAGATTAATGAAAGTGGAGTTCTACAAAGTTTATGATTCTAAGAGCATCCGCAACCGTCGCATTAAGTCGTCGGAATAGCTAAGTATTTAACTCACCGATTTCGAAATTTCCACAATGGTGAAATTTTAACCGATCGTTAGTTAGCTTTTCGACAAAAAATCGGTAGGCTGGGACAAAGTTATCCCAGCCTACCGACGCGGTAGCTAACTCCATGCCCTCAAAAACTACCGAAAACGCAACCCTCAACTCGACTCACACCACACCTCAATTCCATTTTCACTCAATGATCTGGCCTCCACTCGTCCACCGCAATCTGTTTTGATTTCAACCAATACCACAACTACTCTGCCGCTTGACTCATCCCTCACCTCAATCGCTCGGCACTCCCATCATCTTCTAACACCACATTCCCTTCATTTTTAATAATGAATTTTCTAATCCAATCGGGTTTAATAAACTTGATTAAAACTCGAATAATGTCTTGATTCAACAATTTGATTTTTAATCGGTTGTTGGATTTAATGCATTGTCCAACATCCAATACATAGACAACAAAAGACCCGATTGTAAGAGGCAAAAATCAACTTCACATTGTGTGAGTTATACAACATGAGAGTTGGAGAAATTATAAAATGAATCAGTTGGTTGTTTAAATCAGCAGACATCAACTAGTATAAAGTGACAAGTTGATGTTGTTATGAAAATGTGAAGTGAGCATCGGAATGATCAGAGAAATTTGTTGATTGTGTTAAATTTGGGGACAGCTTACTCGTAACTTGAAGCAAACGATTGTAGACCGAGTCTTTAATTTGGAGTTAAAGATGTCTAAACTCCAAGTTAAAGACAACGACTGTGGGATTTGGCAAGAGATTAGTTGGCCCCGGCTAACGATCGTTAACTTTAGGTTAACTAATCCCAAATTTGACGCAAAAGATTGCGGATGCTCTAAGGATTTGAATTTTTAAGAGATTAAATGGTCTTGTGGGCAATACCTGAACCGCTCCAAAACGCTATGAAATTTCAACCAATTTCATGGCGCTGCGGAGTCGGCGCTATGAAACGCTCCGCTCCCACTTCGCTATTTACACAAATAAAAAGCTCGCTTGGTATCGAAGCGGGGCAATCACAATTTCTCCGAAGTATGGCGCAATATATTGTGATGTAAGTACAGTCGCTATATATCGCGCTATATCGCAATATATCGTGCAATATTGCGATATTTCGCAGATAAAGTCAAAGAGAAGGAAAAAAAAATTAATTCACCACGATGTGTACATGTCCAAGCTTGTAGGAGGACAAGTAGAGTAGATGTAAACTCTTTAGAGGAAAAAGATATGAGAAAGAAACAGACACATAAAAAGAAAACAATCTTGTTTTGGAGTCAGAAAAAAAAAGAGACTATCGGGGTTTCTTGGACTTGGCCATCGCGTCCACATAGGCTTGAAGCGCCTTGGAAGCTTCTTCAAATTCTCCATCAGGGACAATGCCCTCCTTCAACCAAGCTTGCAAGCCTACAAGCCGCTCCATGGTTTTAGGTAACATACTACCTCTCGATGGGGTACACACATTGGCAGCGGCTGAAAATGTGCGCTCACATGCACATGATGTGGCCAAAATGGATAAGTAATCGCGGGCGAGCGTTGCTAGGATAGGGAAATGGCTTTTGTGTTCCTGTAAATTGAACCATTAGGTAGTTAGTTAGACTGAATGAATGAATGAGGAGATGGAAAAAACAAACCTTCCACCACTGAAGAGGAGTATGATCCTTTCTGATTGGGAATTTACCATGTAAATATTCTTCTAGCTCTGAAGTCAAAGGTTGACTTGGACCTTTATCAGTTCCGAAAACATCGAATTCATCAGGATTGGCAGACTCGTTGCAATCTTCGGGTGGTGGAGTTGGCTTGTGAGTCTTCCTTTCTTCAACCACAGCGTTGAATGCGCACTCGAGAATCCCCTGAGATGAGGCTTCATGTTTGGGATAGTGGAGGTTGAAAAACTTTACTCAAAATCTTGGGTTGAGGATTGTTGCAAGTACTATGGCTTCACAGCTGGCAGCCTCCTCTTGGTAATCGGTCAGCCATTTGATCATTACCTCAATGGCATTGTCGAGACTTGGGAAAATGCATGCTTCAGCTTGATGTTGCTTGAGTTCGTTGATTACCCTCTTGTATTCAGCCAAGAGAATACATCCAGTAGGCCAGTTACCCTCAACTCGAGCTGTAGCTTCAACAAGAGTCTACAACAAAAACAAATAAACATACCAAAACATAAGATGATCAAAGGGAGCCACATACCTTCAGAACCTTGTTCACCATCTCTACCACGTGCCACTCTGAAGCCGAAATAGTGACCCCCTTGAAAAAACAGGCCTTTCAATTGGCCGCAATCATAGAATTGATGACCTGTATAGAAAAGTATCAGATAGACAGCTATCAGTAATCAATGATGAAAGCAAAGTCAAAAAAGTACTGACCTCCTGTGCCTTGCATGCAATCATGCAACTTTCGTAGTGACTATTCCATCTGGTCTTGCAAGGCCTTTTAAGCATCCAACCCTTATATCCAATACGTGTCGTGCGTGTCTTAAAATTGTTTCTTCGTGCAGCACTACTCGCTATCTGTCCAGAGACAGTGTCCACCTATGGAAAAACTCATGACAACTTTAGTCAGCATCCAACTAGATTCATAATGCCAAAACTCACCTTTTGAAGGGCCACTGCGACCACGTCATCTTTATCACAAGTGCCTTCCTCGCACTACACCAAATTGCAAACTTACCGTGGAGTTTAGAAAATTGAGTAGACATAGAAAATTATAGAGAAGCTGGCAAGGGTCAGAAAAATATGAAAAAATAATGGGAGGACCCTTTGAGGTATTCCGATTGTCTGGCATATTTTTTTCATATTTTTAAAACCACAATGCATATAACAATACACAAAATATATTATCTTCTGGGCAGAAAATATAAAAACCAACACACAAAGATATTGAGTAGTCTGGGAGAGGGACAAAAATATACACAAATTTGCATATTGTTCCTATGATTGAGAGCTTTGATTTGAGTATTTTTTTGTATTTTTAGTGTGAAAATTGTTGATTGTACTAACAAAAAACCTCCAAAATTCTCAGATTATCTATATCCCTCATATCTTTTGCAATCCTGGGCCAAAACACTTGATAATTAGTTCATTAAGAAGCCATGAAATGCATTTGAATGTTATGTTGACGCATCAAATCTGTAGCTCCGCTACAAAAAAAGCTATTTGTCTTTGAAACAATTTCCTATATGTCCACGTAGATATTCTTTGGAATTAGATGCAAGTTTTCTGTCTTGATGAAAGATATAGTCACAGACTTTGGTTTTCCAATGAACAAAAAAATAAGTTGTTTGATCAAGAATTGACAAAGATATAAGGGATTGTTGAATTCAAATTATGCCCTCCAATCTCTGTTACAGGTTGTAATCTGACAATCCTGGAGGTTTTTTGTTAGTACAATCAATGATTTTCACACTAAAAATACAAAAAAATACTCAAATCAAAGGTCTCAGCCATAGGAACAATATGCATATTTTTGTGTATTTTTGTCCCTCTTCAAGACTGTTTAATATCTCTGTTTGTTGGTTTTTATATTTTCTGCCCAGAAGATATTATATTTTGTGTAGTGTTATATGCATTGTGGTTTTAAAAATATGAAAAAATATGCCAGACAATCGGAATGCATCAAAGGGCCCTCCCATTATTTTTTCATATTTTTCTGACCCTTGCCAGCTTCTCAATTTTCTATGTCTACTCAATTTTCTAAACTCCACGGTGAATTTGCAATTTGGCTTAGTGTTGGTATCTTGACCTTCAGTACCATCCTTGTCATCAATGCCGTCCGGTTGCTCAGGTAGACCATTTTCATCCTCAGATTCGGTATCGGAAGGATGGAACTCGTCAGAATCTTCCCCGTTGTTGATCTCAAAACCGGGGATAGGAAGAGTGACACCGTTGGGTATAGAAGGTTTTACAGTACCTACCTTTTGACCCAGGGCTTTGAGCCTGTGGCCAACCACGAGGTTAAGTTTATGGGCGTAACATCTGACATGATGAGATTGACTTGGCCAATGTACCGGATCTTGGCTGCTGCGAACATCTCTTTGAGTTCGGTGGCCATCGTGGTGTTGTTTCCACCACTGTTGGTGGTCTGAGCTAAAAGGTGAGTATCATACAA